CTTGAATTTGTTTTTTATTGATTAATTAAGATGGTTGTTATTCTGGATACTCAAAAATGCAATTATTATTTAATGCAAAAAGGGCTGTTCTAATTTAAAATATTTTTACATATTGAATAATCATTTTAGTGGATCATCCTTCGACATCTATATAAATTAAATAAAAAATAAAAATGATTTAGAATATTCTTAATTTTAAATGAAAGTACAAGAGTATAGAAATTAAGATGATTGTATTAAATATTTAGTTAAGGATTGAGTACATCCAAGACGAGATACATATCCTAACTCAGTGAATTTGTCATTAAGCGAGTCTAGGTTGCTGAAGATACTTTCAAATTGAATCCATAATTCTTAATTTTAATTGATTTGTTCATTTAGTTTATATTGAAATTAATCATAGAAGGAAAAGAAAGTTTCAACAAACTTTTGGTTACGATGAGATTTGAGTAATTTATTGATTTAATTTACATCTTATTCTAAATCATTTGGGATCGTAGATGTAGGTTTCATTTATTAAATAACCCTATTGATTTTGTACCATATTTAAATGGCTTCATCAATGTCTTTTGATTTATGGCAAGCATCCATTTTGATTTTTATTAGTCTGATAAGAGGTTTAGGTTTTTTTGGTTATTAAGATGTACATATGCCCATTTATGATATAATAATTTTAATTAATTAGATAAATGATTTTATGTAAATAATATTTATATTATAAAGTCTCCTTTATAGAATTCAAATAAATTATACATACATATTAGCCATATATTTATATATATATATATATATTATATAAATTTAGTAACAAAAAATAAAAGTCAGAATGGATTATCGCCGAAAACCACAAAGCTATCATCGTTAGAGAACTGGAATATTGATAATGAATAAATAGCATACAAGAAAGAAGTCACCAAAAAAGACATATTCAAAAGCGATTCATCCTTTGAATTTACATACAAGGGCGATGTCTTAAAAAAATTTAGATTTTATGTCTTCAGAAAGGTAATATTTAGAAATATGTATAAGTTCGGAGTCTTCAGGAGAGACATTGATAGAAGATAACAAAAGTTGTTGCTGCTTCGATTGCGGTAAGCCTAATAAGAAAATAAAAAGTTTCCAAAAGAAATTCGGTTTGTTTCGAACACAAATGTCAATTGTTAAATAGTAGAGATTACATATAAGATTTCAGAATGCAGTTTATTGCATTATTTATTTGATTTAAAAGAGGAGAAAACAAAGATTGTTAGATAAATAGAAGAAGATGTTTAGATATAAAACTAAAGTATTTCTTGATGGCTCACCACTCTTTCCTCCACAATAATAACATTTATTTAATGTTCATGATGAAAAACATTAAGTGAATTAACATTCACAATCTATATAAGCTAAAATTATTGATTAAAGACATAAATAAAGATAATCAGTGAGGATATATTTATAATAAAAATTACAAGATAAAGGTAAAAGTAAATATTAAACATTTAGATTCGTAAATAACATTACCTAAAATTCAAAAATTTCATTAGAGCTCCTATTCTAATATTTAACCTTTAAAGTTTTCTAAAACCGATGAACAAAAATCCCCAAGGTGTTCTACATAATTAAAAATATCTCATTATACTGAACACAGTCCTTGTGCCATCCATCATTCTCCTTATTTAAATCATCTAACTTCACGTAACCCTGCTGAAACTATAATTTAATCTTCATTCAGTAAAACACCTAGACCTGTTACAAGGAGTATTTAATCAGAAATACTTACTTAAAAGCATTAATTTCATTAAAGAAAGAATACAGCTGCTACATTAAAAGGATTAATTTGAATATTGTAATTTTTATTTTGTTTTATGATTATTTTTACACTATTCACTATTATATAGTCATAAATAGCACAATTATCATTATATGGAGAAGGTATTAGAGAATAACTTGTTCAAATTATTGATGAAAATTAACTAGATTGTTAAACAATTCAATTATTAATCACTAGAGGATTTGGATAGCATATTCTTGATTTAATTGCAGATGAATAGATCATATTAGAATCTCATTTATAATGTGCTAAATAATCTATTTAAAATGATCTATTACAATTACAATAACTCAAAAATAGGTTTACTAATCATGATAATCATGTTATCATTAAACCAATAATACTGTGGGCACAATCTAAAGCTAATATTTTAATTAAAGTTAAATTTGCTCATAGAATTGATGCTCCTGCTTATATTAGTGTTAAGAATCATCAAATTTAATATCTCAATCATAAATTATCTATTTCAGCTGAATCTGATTAAAATAACATCTTAACTTAATTCTTCTTAGAAATTCCCCTATTAAATGATATCGACAAAACTATAGATTGGTAAGTTGAAAGTGTAGGCACAATGGTTTTAAATATTACAAAACTTGAATCCAAATTATGGTTACATTTAAGTAAAAATAAAAATGATAAATTCTAAATCTGGTGGGATTTAAAAGAATAAGTAATTTCTCTTTTATAATTAGATTGGTCAAGACATGGAAGATTTTTCTAAATTACTTGAAAATTAAGAAGATTATTTGAAAAATAAAAAAAAATAACAAAAAAAAATTGAATCCCAACAGCAATAATAACAAACACCAACAATTAAGCAAAACTTATTTTTTTCATTATTTTTACAATTAAAATAATGGGTTAGTAAGTGGTTTTGAAATTATTATATATATAATCAAATTTCTTAATAATATATTACTCTTCTATCATTTAAATGATATAAATATTTTACTTAGTCTATTTATTAATCTAAAAACTCTTAATTTAAATTCCATTTTAAACATTCACATCCAAAAGTTTTATCATCAAAAGTCCAAACTAATTTTGAAAATGAATTAAGTTTTCCTTTAAAGACAGACTTATATCTATCTATGGCACAAAATTCCAAATATTTTTCTTTCAAAATACCTATCATTATTAAACTATTCTAAGGTATAGCTAATGACATAATATCCTTTTAAGTAGTTTATTCGAAATATTAAACATTATAAACTTATGTCCATTAATGAAATTATGAAATTGGAATATTTTAATCCAATCCAAAAGAACAACCTGTATCAAATAAAGTTTAAATTATTCTAGATTATTTTTATGATTATTTATTTAATTTTTCCACAATTTTTAGATTTCTTCTCTTTCTTTCAATTATTTGAGTTAAACAATTATTCATATCTGATTAATCAATAGTAAATTCACCATCAACAATAATTATTTTATTGGCTATAAATTGCATGATATTCATAAAATCTGATTTCATTCCTCCTTATATACCATCATCAGTCCTTGTTGTATCACCATCAATTTATGAATAATGAGATATAATACCAAAAATATCCTTAAAAGGCTTTTAATATTGTCCTAAAATTAATAGCTCTCTCTTCAATTATTCTTAAATTGAATTATTAATATTTGAAAGGGTAGATTATAATTATTGCACTTCCAACATCCCATCAACACTTAAATCTTCAAAATATTCTGCTTTTGGATTTTAAGACTAACATAATATTAAAACTTCATCCAATGGAACAAATGAGTCTAATGTATGACCATTATCACAATGATATTTTAATTAACATCTACAACAAATTGCACCTTTATTAATACAATTCGGATGTCTACAAATCATATTTAATTGATATCGAGGATGTTTACTGCAATAAATTTAAGGAAAGTTAACCAATAAATCTGTCATTTTAATATTTTTATTAAATGAATTTTTAAGGTGATTTAAGTTGTTTATTATTAACTATGATTATTCTATTCGATTAAATAAACTAATTTATAAAATTTAATATATTTTCTATAATAATTATTATTTATGCTAATTCATTCTCACAATTAATACAAACAAAAGAACTTACAAATTTAAAGCTTCATTTTTTTAATTAAATTTTAGTTCAATCTTGCTATGCTTTTATGACAAGTATATTACACCTATACTTAGTTATTTAAAACAGATCGTAGTTTGTAAGTAAATATAAAAGATACCTATTTTTTAAAGTGATGGATATAATTTTTTACTATTTCTGATTTACTATACATTACATTGTTTGATATATTGAATTAATTTAATTATGTAAATATTTGCCTATACATTTATTGTTCCATCTACAATTTCCATAATATATATTATCATGATGATTTATCGTTGTTGTCATTTGAAATCAGATATTGTGGCTGATAAAATAAACTTAAATTTTTCACTCAAGTTTCGAGTGATTTTATTGATTTTTGATATAGGTATAACATCAGTTATTAATAAGCAGTCTAGGTATTTAAGTTACTTAGTGTACATTTATCTTTTTCTGTTAGAATTGTGACGAATACCATAACTATATTGTGATTATTCTACTCATTAACATCATCACTTTAACTCTCTAAATATTCCTGATGGTATAAAAACCTTTCAATTTAGATCTTTGAGTATAGAAAGCGAGTTCCTTTATTTTCTGCCCATAAAATTTATTGGATTGCAAATTGGATGATGCTTTTGATGATTATTGCCTTAATCATTAACTATCAAGGCTATTTTCTAGACATTATTCTAATCTTATTAAGAATTATCATAATATCAATACTACTAATTTATACACTTTTTATTAGAAAGCAAGACTTAGTAGAATTTGAAGATATAGGATTTTTTAATAGTGAATTGCCAGATATTGATGTTTCTTCACAGGATTATAAGTTAAGGATTTCAACCTTAAACAGTATACTTATAATTTTAATAAGTAGATTTTCAAACATAATTTTTTTCTGTAGAAATACAAAAAATGTGGAACATTGTAGATGATGATATTGAAATTAAATTGAATATGTAAATATAAGATTGATTTATGTAGTCATTTCATTGATAAAGAAAAAAACATGAAATTAAAAAAAAGACTGTCATATATATTTGAAATGCATTCAAAAATAATTATAGAATGCTAAAGATATTTTGAACTTCATAACAATGAATTACTGGAATTAGATTATTTAATGAAGAAGATTTAAGAAAACAGTGATTTACAATTAATTTAAAGTATATAGAAATATTTTAATTTCATAATAAGTAAAGTTGATTTGATATCAGTAACCTTTATGGACTTTATTGAATTACCTCAATAAGAAAGAGAATTGTTGGAAGACATCAAACAATAGAATACACAACTTCATAAACAATCTTTCATTAAAAAATAATTAACTACTCTATCCTAAAAGAAATGGGATTTACAAGAACAATTTATCCCTTACATGAATGTTAAAATAAGAAAACATCAAACTATCAAATAAAACAATGATTCTTACATTTAGTATGTTATAGTGATCAAAATTAAACAAGAAAGCTTAGTTTCATAGAAGAGATTCAGGGAATTTCATGAATTACATGAATAATTAAAATAACAAGGGATAAGATTTGTATCTCTCTTCCCATAAAAAAGTATTGGAAAACTAACTGAATTAGATTTGGAACAACGATAGAGGGATTTAGAAATTTATTTGAAAGTATTATTAAATGATAGGAATAATCATAATTGTTTACAATTATTTAAATTTATAGGCTTAAATGTAAATTAAGAAGCTTATTTAAAAAAACAATATCAACGCATATAAAGAGATGTATAATTAATTTGTTAATCTACTATAAAATTTGTATTATTTGAAGATGTTTAGGATTAATTTGGTGATAAATATTTTAGATATTAATTTTAAATTTTAAATAATAATATCTTAAATTTAAACCACATAATATTTAAACGATATTCTTAATTTGAAGAATTGCATAGCATATTAAAATAAAGGTAAATTAAATAGTATTTAATAGATTTTAATATTTACCATTGTTGCCATAAAAATCTTTATAACAAAATATCAACCCAAATCAAAGAAGTGGATTGTTACTTTAGTATCTTAATGAATTGATTAAGATGCCTTAAGTTTGTGAGAATCCTCATTTTAGACAATTTATCGATATTCCATTTTTTAATTTTGAATTTGAAGAATCAACAATCTAAGAGTCTACCACATAATTTAATCAAATAATAAGACATTTAGATAATGATTCAATAATTTCAAAGATAGATGATATGAAAGTAAGATTATGGGAATGATGTTTAGAATGTATATTTGTCTATATAAATATAAAATAAGATGTTTTGAAAACATAAATTGAAAAACATAGAAATGAAAATATTAATTCTCATTACTCTAATTTTGTTATTTTTTTAAAATGATAATGGATATGAAAATAGATTGAATATAAAATTATATTTTAATTATATGAATAGATCTCGTAGAAAAGAATTGTAATAGCTAGTAAATAAGAAACGTAGTTTTCTATCACCTGGAATAGGCAAGACAATCACAAACAAACCTTTTCGCAGATAAAGTTGTAGATGTTCTGAATGTGGAGGTGTAGGACCATTTCAAGAAAGATAAAATGCTTAACATCCTCAAACTTATATAAGAGCACATCATTGTAAGAAAAGAAAACGTAGAATGTAGAGGAGAAAAGGGACTTACATCACATCATCGAGTTTAAATGTAGGATAATCAGAAAACAATACAATCATTCTACCCAATGTTCCTAAATTAAGAAAGGCTAAAACAATTTCAGTAACAAAAGAATTACAGCAAACTATAAGAAAAGGGAAGAGACTTTTAACTAAAGATGATCAGCAAATAAAATATGAGTTTTTCTATAACAATGAACTTAAGTTATCGAAAGGCTTTTTAGAAAATTCACAGATATCTTAAACTTATGAAACTGCATTGATCTCATTTGTCAACTTCACTAAGTCTCCCAGCTTTGTACTCAATAGTTATAATAATATTATTAATGAATCAAAAACAAGTTCAGATGATGAACCTAATTAAAAAGACTTTAGAAATAAATAATTATAATTGACAACTCCTAAAATTAAAATCAAAAATAATTCTATGCATAGTCGAAAACTTACTGAGGGAATGATGCATTCAAATGTTAATAGAACAGTTTAGTAATTTATTCAATCTTGTACGACAATAAGAGTTTTGAATTCTCCAAAACCTTCAAAATAAGTTAAATTACCTTCAATTAATTCGAAACGAGAATAAAACAAATTTTCTGTTTATTTATTGAATTCTCCTCGAAGAGCAGTAATTGAATTGAAAAGCTAAACTACTTCTTAAAAAAAAATAAAAGTCTTTAAAAAATGATATTATTAATATTTATGATTAAAACCCTTGCAAATTCTAAAATGCCTCAAATAATTTTATCGTTATTTCAAGAATGGTATTAATAATAGTTTGAGAAAAAAAACATTACAAATAGACAATAAAGCATAATTTGTTAAATTTTCAACATTAGACAAACAGCAGATGATATTTTTGAATTGTTAATTTCCGACTCAAAATGCATATTTCCAACGAAAATATACAAGTTTGTATTGCAATAATGTTGTGATAAAATAAATAAGAATGTCAAAAATGAATTAAAGATGTTGAGAGTAATTTGAATCAAAATATAAGGGAGCATTAGTAGTTTTGAATTAGATTGAATTTTTGAGAGTAAAGAAGGAATTCAGATTTGAAATATTGATATTGGATATGAATTATATTGATGGATTGGGAGGTGCAATAGTGAATGAGATCCAATTACAAACAAAGAGACCAGCTATGATAAAATTGGAGGAAAGATAATTACCTTTTTATGAGGAGTTTTCAAGAATTTTTGAAAAGATAATGGAGATAGAATCTAATTAAATATATGAATAATTAATAGTAAAGAAAAGGAATGAATAGAAATAAACATAATAAGAGGATGATAAGAATAGAATAATACAATAGGAATAACCAAAGAGTTAATATTTGGTTTATGATGCATCTCTTTATCCAGAAGAACATTTTTTAGAGAAGTAATTTAGAGCTTAATTTAAATTTGTGCCTTATATAAGTTTAAAATTGAGTAGTAGTAGAGGGTTGAAGAGAATAGAAGGATAATAATAATAATGACTATTAATATAATATGAAATATATGTTTATTTTTCAAATTTTTGAATTGGATAGTTGATTAATCAAACATCTAATTGTAGATCATTTTGGAATGTTCCAATCTACATGATAGATGATGGTGGTTATCCAATATTGACAACTTGAGTATGATCAATATCTTATAAATCTTAATTTCTTCTAATTTCATTTTGATCAGCCACTTTGATAAATGCTTAAGTATCTGGAATAAGATTAAATCCGAATTCACTATTTCTAACACCTTTGGTTAATGGGAAATCTCCTAAATCATGATCAAATTGATTAAGATTATCTAAGGAATAAATAAATAAAAGCTAAACCTGTTTATGCATAAGAATAAACACTTTTATCATCGTTATCTCCATTCATAGTATTATTACGTCTTTCTGGAATAAACTTTTAAGGAGGTCTAAATTTCATATGACATGGTTTAAGATTAGGTAAAGAACCTTCCATTAATAAATCTTAATCTTTAAAATGATTAAGCATATTATTCCAAAGATTATCCTAAAGAGATAACATAAATATAAATACTTTGCATAATACTCTTGCATTACCAATAATTATTAATCCAAATCTAGCTCTAGTAATTGTAACATTTAATCTTCTGGGATTGGTTAAAAAACCTATACCTTAAGTATCATTTGAACGAACACATGAAATGATAATAAAATCTTTTTCTCTTCCTTAAAAACCATCAACAGAAGCTACTTCAATATCTCTATATTAATTATAAGGTAATTATCCATTCTTTTAAAGATAAGAAATAATATATGTTCTTTATCCTTTATAAGGAGTAATGATTCCAATTTTATTTAATTTAACTGTATTCTAATATAAATAATAGACAGCTTATTCAACAGCAACAGCTTCTTAAGTATTAAGATAGGAAGTTCCTGAAGCTGATAATTATTCTAAACCAGATACATTAATGAATATCATAGGTTTTTATTTATTAGGCCAAGGAAAACTTCCTGAGTGAGTTCTATCACTAATAGTAACTCCATTTTGTAAAGTACCTTCATAAAATGTATTAGATGGAAAAACTGTTAATTCTGGATGCATACGATATTAAACTTATAATCTAACAGGTCTAATCCCTAATTATACTAGTCTTTCGAATAGACTTCTATCTAAACCAACTGAAGCAGCTTCTCTACTTTATACAACTGGACCTAATTATCTATGATCTCCAACTAATATAACATGTTTCGCTCCTTTAAGCATAGGCAATAAACATTCCGGTTCAATTGCTTAAGTTGCTTCATCAATTAGGACATATAAGAATCTCATATCCTTAAGTCTTTTATCAGCTGAACCAATACATGTTGTACAAATAATATCAGCCTATTCAATGATTTCTTTTTCAGCTTCATCTCTCATTCTAATAAATACTTATTCATCTTTTTAATCTAATTCTCCTTATTAATCTAATAATTCATAAAACGCTTATAATGAATGATATTATGGAATATCCAAACTTCTAACTTAATTATGTAATGTTAAAAATTCAATATTAGTACTAACACTTTCTCTTGTTTTACTACATAATCTTACAACTTTCACTCCTGTTTTATTAATCTTTTCTGCTAATTAATCTACAACAATGTTGCTTGGAGCACATACTAATATTTATCCTCTTTATTTTTATTTTTCCATTGCTTTTACTAATTGATAAACAATAGTCGCACTTGTAACAGTCTTTCCAGTACCAGGTGGTCCTTATATTAAAGATAAAGGTGATTTTAATGCTTTCTTAACTGCATCTGCCTAATATACATTTAAATCTGGTAAATTTGGAGCAGATAACTTTTATGGTATACTCTCAACTTATGTTGGTGGTGGTAATGTATCTATTCTTCCCAAAATCATCTTATATAAATAATTGCTTATAGAACTATCTTAATTCACAAATGTCTTTAATCCTATATACATTCTTTTAAATGTAGTTGACACCCATATACATTCTACTGTATAACCTTCATCTGCATTATTCGGTGGTGGATCACTCTAATGTAATTCCAAACAAACCTCCTCATTATTTATTACTTTAACTACTGTTCCTTTCGATTACCATATATTATTTCCACTCTTTAAACTCAATTACATCTCACTACCCAATAATGTATTTGTATCAAACTCTTCTCTTCCTCCATATAAAAAATATGCCAATCTCTTTTTCTTTAAACTCAAATCCCATTTCACTTTCACACTCTATAATACTTATCCCTCCTTCACTTATTTATCTTATTCCTCTTCCAATTTCACCAATGGAGAAAATACTTATTAATAATGTACTGCATCTCTATATCTCAATTACACCTCCTTTAAACTTTAATTTGGACCTTTCCTATCCAAATCCTCTATTCTCAATTATGGTTCCTTCTTTCTCGCATCCTCATACTAATTTATCCTCTCCAATGTTACCATCCTTGACTAGTCATATAAACTACATCTATTACATTTATTTTCTCTCCTTATCCCAATAACCAATCTTATATACTCTTATCCTTTATTAGTGGCTAATAATCATTTGAATCCCAACTTATCTCTCCTGATTATTTCAATTGTACACACCCTCTACATAGAATTAAAATGTTTTCCTCTCCTTCCACTTTCACTAAATATCATTAAATCATATCATACCATTCACTTATCCTAAGGTGAATAAATTTCTTTATTCACAACAATAACACTCTATTGTTGTTATTTACACCTTGTTTCGATTATGTAAACTTATCTAACTATGCTTATTCTTTATCAAATGCAATATTATATGTGATCCACTCCTTGTCATACTGTTGCAATACCATCTATTACATTATAAACATTGCGCAACTGCATTTGTATCTGATTACAAACAATAACTATTTCATATCTATCTAATTCTTACTCACAAGAATGCTCAGCTATCTATACTTACTATTCTGTAGTTCTTTTTAATTTCTCAAATGTATCTGCCATAAAAACTCTTTAACAAAATCAAAACTTTATTATTTAATTTAAATATTATTAAAGAATTTTCATTATTTTCATCATATTTATACCATTAGTTTTCATTCCATTTTCTATTATCTTTTATTTCCCAACTTTACTCTCCATATCTATTTTTTTTTTTCCTACTTTAATACCATTCCAATTCAATTTTTATACATTCCAATTAATCTTTAATCCATACTCTTACATCATTCAACTACCATACTCTTACATCATTCAACTAACTCACTTAATGCTATTATTTTTCATCTGAATTAATTTATAATCAATTTCAACTCAACTTTAAAAAGTCTAGTTCTGGAAGAAATATTCACTTAAAGGTGTTTTCTTAAACCATTTAAAAAGAAAACTATTACATTATAAGATATATTAATAAATCCAAAAACACAATTCTATTTGAATATCTTTTAAATTTCCTTTTTTTTAAATTCCTTAATTTATTCTAAATTCATATATATGAAGAATATTATATTTTTAAATATTCTTAAAATATTTTTTTTTTTCATCATTAAGGTAATAAATTGCATAATTCTATTTTTAATTTAAAATTAATTATAACTCTTATAATAAGCTTTAATTTTATAACTTAAATTTAAATACATATA